GCTCGTGGCGACCCGTTTCCAACCAGCTACGCTCGCTGATGGATGAATCGAGTCGCTTGAAAATTTGCGAATCCGTCGCGACGACGCCACGGAGGCGTCCAGGTGCTCCAATTAAATGGAAACGTCTGCACGACGGCATTAGTGGATGGAAATTAATTGGTCGGCCAAGAGCGGAATCAATCTCGGTTAACTCGCTCGCTTCTGATCGGTAATTTGCGTTTGGAAACGATTGGCTGACTTGTTACAAGGCAACGATCGGCACGCGAGCAAGTAGGTTCAGAACCAAAGTAGCGGTAAACTGTGCGCTCGTCTTTTCTCGACCAGTAACAAACAAAGCAGGAGGAATCTCGAAGATACTCTCGAATACTACTATTATTATTAACATCTCTTAAGAGACAAAATTTTAAGCGAATTAAATCGATTACAATTTGAATGCGTTTTTGTTAAGAGTCGAGGGATTTTTGTCGTTGATAAAGATGCAACGTGTTTTCAACGTTGCACCCTTCGACCAACGATATCAACGTAAACGTCTTTAGAAGAATCGAATGCCTGGAAGGACTAAAATATTTTCATCGTGGGTGCTGGATTCACGGGTCGTTTATTTAAGGATTCGTGGCAGATGGACCGGACGTGGCTCGTTCGGATCTCGAGTGGGTCGAGTGCAGCGGTCGAGCGTAGCGACCCGAATTGCACTTGGTGCGCTCCGATGGAATGGATCAAATAGGTCACGCTCGAACGTGTTCTCTAATTTTTCCAGTTGGTTTGCAAACCTGCATCCTCGAAAGAGTCAGGCATCTCGGCCGAACAGCGGGGATTCCGCGTAAATTTAATCGCGATAAAATTGTCTATCAACCGCGTGGCCGTGTTTTGCGTTGGAAGGCTTCCGTCGATGCTACAATCCCATCCTAGATTCTGATGCCGGGAACGTGTGATTGCGATAGAGGAAAGTGCGGTTATTTGTCCAGAAAGTTTCTCTTTTTGTAACCGGCTCACGTCGATCAGCTGCTTTTGAAAGGGCATCTAAAGACAGATCTGGACGTCGCTTTCCGAAAAACTAAAAAGATGTTGGTCACGGATGTGCGTTTACCGCCGGAGAGACTCGACGTAGCAAATATTGATATTGTACTCGACAAATATTCGTCTAATATTCGGCTAATGACATCAAATATCCAATGACTCGATCCGTTAGACGAACCATCGAATTTTCTCTTTGGAGTGTTCGCAGCAATGGAACGTATCCGTGTATATTGGAGAAACGGCGGCGCTCAAGGTAGCCGCGAAACGTCTCGGGGACAAGCGTTTGTCGATATGTGGTAATTTGCCGAAATTGCGGTCTATGAAACGCGACCGAATGGAGAGCTAGAGAGGATAGAGGAGAGGAGAAAGGCACGGTCGTGTTCGTTGGTTGGCTCGCGATCGTTGGACACGACCCTCGTGTTCCGGTCTGCGTGGAACGGGTCGAGTGCATTGCAGCGATGGTCGCGAGAGCCGATCCCCGATCTCCGATCCCCTTGGCTCGATCCGCGAGGCCACGCTTAGGGACAGTGGGTCAAGTAGGTCGGTCCCGCAACGCTCAGACAGCCGACAGGCGCGCGCTCAGGTTACGTAACCCTCGGAGGGAGAAAGTCTCCCCTCCTGCCCCGTGCCGGCGTCCTTCCAGCGTTCCCCCTGCGTTCAAACGTTCCCACCTCCACATCCGTGCGCGCGATCTGCAACTCGACTTGCCACGGACTGTTTACAAACAAATCCTCCCACCTTTCGAAGCGGCAGACCCTGCCTGCCACCCGGCGCGGACGTACATCGTCCGGCGACGACAGCGCCGTCTGGATCCCCCTGAATCGACCTGAGTCGACCTGGTCCGGTCTCCGACGAGAGCTAACCACGTACCGAGCCGTACCGAGAGTGCGGCGGCTGCTGTGTGCGCCGTGAATCCCACCAGACTGCATTGCGCAAAATTGCACCACCACCGACCGAAGAAAGCAGCTTGTGGAGAAATTGCCTTCCACTCGTTACAGTCAACCTCTACCCCTCTCTTCCTTTCTTTCCCTCTTTTGCCCTTCCTTCTTTTCCCAACCGATTGCCCCCTTCCAATCTTCATTTTACCCTGTTCGGTTTTCCTACTTCCTGTGTCCTTCTTCGAGTCACGCAGGCTCTCTTCATCTTCCGCGTCGAAGCGCCTTCTTTCGCACGATTTTTCCTCGATTTCTCCTTCTCTTGTTTCGCGAGCTACGTCTCGCTACTAGATCCGAGTCGTTCGAGATCATCGCCGTCACGAACGACACCGTTGTAAACTGGAATCGACTGCGGAACTCCATCGCATTGTGGCGAGGCAGAGGGAACGAGTGAAAGGAAGAGGGAGCGAAAGAGAGGAGAATCGGGAAAGGAGACGACGGCGACGGCGACGACGAGCACGGGACCGGCCGTGGAGAGAGAAACGCCGTTTACTTTGCTTTTTACAGTCGCGTTCCAGATTCCCTGGAATCCGGCGCACTCGTAACTGTAGTTAATTGTTGTTTAGATCGAGCGATGGCCGTCGCGCCACCGCTTCGTACGTTACACGGTGTCCTCCACCGGACGCGAACAAAGGAAGACCACGCGATTGGAACGTGCTCGTCTTCCGGTACCCGGTCGACCTCTCGGGAATTCGGTCGCCGCTAGAAACTTCACAATTTTCAAACGCCTCGATCGAAACGACTGCCTCCAGTTACACACCACGTAATCGTTTCCAACGAGGCTATCGCATTTTTCAGGTGTACTGGGTCAGCGGGTTTCCGTGCGACCAGATCGTTTAGCCAGACGGTTAATCGTTCGATTTTTCAACGACGAATGCGCGAAGCTTCTAACTCTCGAGCTATTGTTTCGTAAAGTCGTAAATTACGAACGAATGCATTCCGGAATATTTAGGGGTAATTTACTTTCGAAGCGGCGATTGCCACGACGAATACTGCCGGGTCGAGATCTTCTCACGAAGTTGCGCCTCGCGAAGCTGTCCGTTTAGACGCCGTTCTCCTATCGCGCTTATTTTTCTCCCCGTCGATTTGTTCGACTGTGAACATCCGCTTCGCCCGATATCTGTCGAAGGTTCGCAGTTCGGCGCGCTAATTTCTCGCTCGAGGAAATACACGACTACGTATGTCCAGCTAGACGAGCACCATCGAACTTTGTCCAGACTAGTTCGCTGTTCCTAACCAACTTCTATGACGATTTCGGAAGGCACCTATCGATCCGTTTCAATTTGCTGCCTTCCCAAATTAATCCTGACTACTTGGTTAGATAGAAACTTGGTCGCCTTTCTCGCAAACGTCGAATAATTCATTTCATAACCATAAGGCGAACAGTTAAACAAAGAAGAATTTTTCTACTGATATGAAAAGACACAAAATTGAAATTAGACAGGTAAGATAATAAAATTGAAAATTTAGAAATATTAGATATCTGTATGAATCAGAATTCGAATATCGAGGATCGATCGAACGATGCTGTTCGTCTAAAATCAAGCATCTTCGTGAATGTCGATACTCGCGAAGTAAGAGAAGCGTGTCAGGCATGTTTCTAAACACGCAGGACTCGAAGAGGATGCTCGCGATTATTTCGCGAGAC